TTGGCCGAGGTGGAGGTCGAGCAACACTTTGATGACATGACTCCAGAGCAAATCCAGAGCCGAATTAAAGCATACCTTGAGGAGAAGGCGAGGTTGACCGATAAGGATGTGGAGATTGTGAAAGTGGTCACGCCGGTTGGCGATGATGCGGAGAAGCTGACTGATCCTCGTGATGATCTTATTCCGGTGTCAGATGGGGCCGTGGAAGCTGCTGCTAAGGCAAAGGAGTCGCAGGTCTTGGAGCGATTATCCTCTGGTTTTGAAGTCGGTGAAAGCAGTGGCACCGGAGAGAATGTGGAGAAACCAACCGAGGAGGTCCAGGATTGATTTTCTGTTTCTTGTCTTTGTTATTTTCTTTTACTTGATCAAATTTGCGTAAGATAATCGGGGTGCCGGCATGTCGGCATCCTTAGTAGGAAATATTTCTAAGTTTATGGTGTGTAATCGGGGATGTTGGATAGCCGACTCCCTTAGTAGGAAATATGAAATATTATGTAAGGGATTCCCCGGATTTCGAAATAATATTATATATGAAGTGTTTGAATATGTTTGATTTTGTTTGTATGTTTCGCCGCACAACTTTCAGCGATTTTCGACCAAGTGTTTAGAATTCGGTTTTCAGAAAATAAACTGCCTCAACTCGGAATTACTTAAATCATGATCCGGGTTGTAAGATTTTATAAAGATAACTTCCGAATTCCACTTTGATTATTTATAAGAATTTCAGCCACAAGTGTGAGTCGATTATGCGGGTTTTCAGATAACTGCGCAAAACTCAACACATTTTTAGGGCTGTACGGGGAATAAAATGAGGTCACCGGACTTCGTCAGAGTCCGATTATGGAATGGCCCCAACCGAATTATTTGAATAAGTGTTCGGTAATTATCGGGACCCACCAAATCATGTTGGCTGAAGTGGCGTTTGACGAGCTTCAACCCCGACCAAACCATACGTGGGGTTTGGGTGTATTACAGGGTATCAGCTAGGCCGAGTGTCGCAATGTTTACATCGGCATGATATATTTAACCATGTTTCAAAAAGGTTTACATCGGCATCGAGCCTGGTGTTCGACTATTCAGTACATCAGTACATCAAAAGAGGTGATTTCAGACATTCACCGAGGCAAATGAGAAGGTCCGTACAAAAAGGGAGGTCGATTATGCGACTTCGGATCCTTCATTGAT